GTCTGCGCACGAAGATGTTCAAGCTCAATCTCCGCTCTGAATTCTTCACGCAACGGGCCATAGAACAGTGGAATAACCTCCCGCAGTCAATTGTGGAGGCCACTTCCCTACAGTTGTACAAACAACACTTGGATAATTACATGCGCCCCCTGTTGTCCCTCGAAGTCTGAAATCTAACTACCAGACTTACTTGTAAAAACGCTGCTACTCACTGTTTGCCAATACTATTTTAGTAGTGGCATTTTTTACGTGTGCGTGTACATATGTATATGACGCACCGGCATGTAATCAATAGGGTTTTCGAAGGCATTGCCTATTACCCTCACCAAATAAACAAACGAACAAAATCAGAGAGTCGCGAGATTCAGTACGTACGAGCCCAACAGACGAGGAGGCAGAATTAACGAGTACCCTAGAATTGGGCTTGATTCATCTTACAATTGGCGTATAAAAACTGAAAAAAGATAAGGAATGGTCAGAGTAATATAGGCAGCTAATGAACGTTCGTTAGGGAGCAGGAGTGAACGTTTGTCAAGGAGGGTCAGAGTAGTGTTAGCATGACATATGGTTATTAAATAGCCGAGTCACTTTTGGGGTACATGTCTGCAAGGACGACAAGAAAACTGACAAAACAGCGGAACGGCTCTCAAAAAGGTCTAGCACTAAAACAAAGGATAGTTGAGGACAACTTTGCTTCGACGATTTAAGCTTACGACTGGATGAAGTATTCGGATACGAGGACGTAAAATAGTTTGCTTTACGCAACATACATAAGAAGTGAATATTACCTGATCCATATCGTGCAAACCAGCATCGTCTAGGGCAGCCTTCATGCTTCTGAATGCTCCACTGCCGGTGGGCTCCGGAGAGACGAGATTATATGCGTCAGCTACAAGGAACAAGATGGCAAAAGAGTATCATTCCATTAGAAGACTAGAACTAGGTCAAAAGTTTCCATAATAACCTGCACATTGTGATTTGGTAATGATTTCAATACCGGTAGATACAGCATAGGCTATAACTCGCATACTTACAGAGTGACATGCCAAATATGAGAGAATACGATCGGGCTGAGAGTACAATAAGGAGACTTTAACACACGTACTTATGCAATATCACAGTGATAGTCCAGTGCGCGTCGAGGCTTAAGCGCAAGTCTCAGTAGGTAGGGAAAGACATTTGCGTAATGCCTGCGAACCCAGTCTGTCAATAATTCCCTAGGTAAAATCACTGTTTGAGGCCCAAATAACTCTACTTAATGTACAGCCTATGTGTTA